AGAAAGAGAGAAAGAAAGAGAAAGAAAGAGAGAAAGAGAGAAAGAGAGAAAGAGAGAAAGAGAGAAAGGAAGGAAGGAAGGAAGGAAGGAAGGAAGGAAGGAAGGAAGGAAGGAAGGAAGGAAGGAAGGAAGGAAGGAAGGAAGAAAGGAAGAAAGAAGGAAAGAAGGAAAGAAGGAAAGAAGGAAAGAGAGAGAGAGGTGATGGCAGGTGGGTGACACAGCCAAGAGTGTGCTTCTTCATGGGAAGGCAAGACCCATGTCTCAGGAAGAAACTTGGACAGGGAAGGGATGAGCACATATTTCTGTTACCTTGGATAGCAAGGGTTTATGCTGCTCTATGCTGGCAGCAGGTGCACCGCTGTCTCTGCACCATCTTCTGAGAGCAAAGGCCACGTGCTGCTCAGGTGGTGCCAGCAGCTCCTGCCCACCCCGTCAGCCTGCACTGGCTGCGCTCATCCATGGGCAGAGACCAGGGCACTGGGTGAGTTATTTATGCACTGCCACAAACTTGTGCTGTGCTCTGAGAATGCATAGGTCCTGACCGCTGTTCAGATGAGTTTGCCGTGCAAATTAACTGTGTAGTGAAGGAAGATGCTGTCTTGGCAGGGAGTACAGGGTGTTGCTTTCGTTACTTGTGATTTCACTGCTCTGCATTTAGAAGCAGTGGGCAAGACCTGCCCCCACCTCCAAAGTGTAGCTGGGGTGCCTGTTAGCTGATGCATCTTGTTTCTGTATCTGCTGTGAATGCATCCAGGAAAGCTCAAGCTATGGAAGATATCAGCCACAGCACTTACTGCCCCGGAGCAGGAAAGGTGTGTAGCTTAAGTTGCAGTCAGACTTGGTAGGACAACCAAGTGGAAGAAGCAAGGGACATAGTTTTCCATGTCTGGCTGCCCAATGTAACAGAGTTTGGGAGTGAGGCCCAACACAGGTAATACCATGGAACAGCCAGTTTAAAGGAAATGTATTTAAGCAAGTAAAAATCACCCGAAGTGTTAAAGAACTCATTGGTCTCAATAAAAGCAGAGAATGGCCTTTGCTAACACGGAGCCTTTCCTAATCTCCTTGGAAGTTTCCTGAAGGCCTTATCAGATACTTATTGCACATTCAACATTTGCACCTCCTTTTTCTCTCTTCAGTCTGGTTGGGAGCTCAGCATGAGCTGCCTCTGTTTGGTGGGCGTTGCAGCAGGCTGTTCACAGCTTTGAGAACTGTACTAGGTGTTGGCCAATCTCTGAGACGCTGGCACAGCCTGAAATAAATAAAGAAATGAAACATGTTGATGAGAGAGAAAGGTCTGTGGATGAAACTTGAAACTCTGAGTCATGGTCTAGTCTTGTATGAGCCATGTGGGGATAGGTTGGTACTTCAACAGCTCACCCACAGGAGCCCTACTCCTCAATGGCATCGTCAGCCTTGAGGTTAGGCACCAGGCTTCCCGCACAAGAAGAGTTAGAGACATGAAAAAAAAGGATCCTTATAACAAGCTGAGCAGGGAGCCATCTGATCCAGCCAGAAGTGAAAGGTAGACAGAAAAGACACAGGGATTGCCATCTGTCAAGTGACCGGAGGTGGAGATTTGCATTGCTGTTTCATTTGGTCAAATCTGGGTGGAATTTCACAGCCCTGCCAAAAAGGTCCCAACCTGCTACTCTTGCTGAGTTCAGTGCCCTTTTGCATGTAAAGAAGTGTGAGAGCCTCCTGGAAAGAAACCTTGTAGGAATCTTTACTAGCTGAAAAAGTAACCCGAAAAAACAGCCTATTAAGAAATGCCCAACAGGATTTCAGTTCCAGTCTCGCAGTCAGCATTGCTATCCACTTGAGTTCATGGTCGCTAGAGCATGAAAATCTTTAAAACACAATTTGAAGTGGGATAAGACCCTTTGCTGATGTCTGAATACTTCTGCACTGGATCTGCATGTCATACTTGTTCATGCGTGAAACTGGAGTTTGCACTGGGCTGTGCAAATTTGCTGTTCAGTGAGGAGGTCAAACATGGCAGCTACAGGTAGGAGCAGAAGTGAGAAACGCAGAATGAGGAACAACAGTAAAAGCTTGGAGGAGACACGGAGTCTTTTAAAGCATGTGTGATGCAAAGATTTGAACCTGCACCAACAGACTGTATTCTGTAATACACAGAGAAAAATTCTGCATCCATTTTTTCCAGACTTTTCATGCAGCAAAAATATTGGTTGCATTTTACCCTGGTAAACATTAAATTAAATACTGAAAAACATATGCTGCCATTCCTGGCATAACAGAAATTCAAAGTTTTGCTCAGCTCTACTTAGCAGTTTTGCATCTTTCTAATTGGGTCGGAAACCTACTTTACTTTTTTTTTTTTTTTTTTTTTTAACCAACCTGCTTCGTCCTTGCAAGCTTTGTTGCTATGGCACCTGAAATGCCAAGCGGTTTCACAGGAAGTGAAGAATCACCTTTAATATTGCAACTAGAACCAGCACAGCTCACATGGGTTCCCTTTTTGTGACCCATCCATCAGACTTCTGATTTTAGATGGCTTGCATGCAGAAACCTCTGTATCACCAATTACAAACAACCTGCAAAATGCTTACCAGCTAAGGCCATCGACAAACGAAACTCATCCTGCAAAATTCTCAAAACGTCTTGAAGACCTTCTTCACCCTGCTCCAACAAAGAAAGCAGTCAGGGTAAAAGGAGCACTGGCACAAAGCAATGCTGCAGGATGCTTGCACCGTGAGAGCTGGGACAGTCCCTTAAGTCGGTGCCAATTCCAGTCTCTCATACAGATGAATGATTAAAATAATATGATGGATGTGCTCAGTTCATCACAGATTAATTTAGATGCTTTTCCTTTTGTGATACATCTGAACAGGGAAAGAAAACAAAGCCGTTTTTCACTTCTGACATTTTCTAGCTGTTTTTTTTCTTAGCTTTCAGTCAACTACCACCAATGGGCTTGTTTTAAAATGTCAAGCCTTACAATGCTGACAGTATTTTATGAAGTAATGAGAGTTTTATATATGGTACAGCTTTAAAAACTTTAGTTTACTCAGATACCAGACCAAATCTTTAAAAATAGTACACTGTGTGTTTTCCTCTGAGCAAGTGACACCAAGAAGCTCAAAATCCAATAAAATGTACATATGAGTTTGATCTTACTGTAAAAATATTGGAGGATTTTTTTCTTCTTCTTTTAAATTTTATTTTTATTTCTTGCAATAAAGAATGCTTTGCATGCAGACAATGTCAGTGCTTGTTCTGCCCTTCCTCTCCTGTATGCTAGGGTAATGCCACTGAGATACATCTTCAGGACTATGCTGTGGAATACAATACCAAAGCACAGTTGAACTCAAAAAATCCCATCTCCTTTCTGTTTGCATTGTGGAAAAAATGCAGGCAACTCACAGCAACACCCTTTTCATGTTAGGCCCTTTTTCTCTGTTTACTGGCAACAGAAACAGTGCTGCCAACTCTTCCAGGTTTCTCAGAAGATTCACGTGATTTCTTGCTTAAAGCCTAGCTACTAGAATCCACAGCAACCACACCACTGGACAGGAGTCTCATTTAAAAGATAGGAAATGTTTCTACACCATAAAAATAAATATTTTTTTATTCTAGAGAAAAGCTTGAAAGTTCCAATCCAGAGGCTAAAAAGCAAAAATTTAACAAAGCAAACAACTGGTATAATTACATTTTAATTTTAATTATATTATGTTAACCTTCTGCATCAGAGGCCTAATTCATTACTCTGGATCATAGAAATATGCTAGTAGTTAAGAAGCAGCGAAGCTGGAACTGAGATAGTAGTGGCACGCTCAGGCACCTACAGGACATGGTTGTGCTCAGCCTTGTCCAAAATGTTTCAGACATCGGTGGGATGGAGTTCTATATGTATTTCTGATGAATTCGTAACACCGCTATGAAACTGCTATATCAAAACCATATATTGTTTCCAAGTAAGCTGACAGCAAATAAAATTGTCAGACTCATCTTTGTGGCCAATAAGCCTGCCTCCAATTTTCAAAAGCACTGATGGTCCTGAGGCCTACAGTATTTTAACACCAACTGCAACACCAAGAAATCAGGTCCCACAAAACAAGTTATCAGCTTCAAAATCATATTTGAAATCATGAAATTCAGTGGTATTTTTAAGTCACAGAAAATGTCTGGTTTTGATTCAACTTGGGGTGTTTCCACTTACAATTCAGCAAAACCCAAAAAAAAGGGTAAGATTCTTCACTGGTGAAAACTGCCTCTATGACTTTTAAACAATAACAACAGAGTGTTGGAGAATATGAGAAGACAACATACAAACTGAAAGCTCCTTACTCACCTTGTAAGCCAGACCCCACAAAGCTGGTCTTCCAATAAAGACGCATTTTGCTCCCAGTGCCAGTGCTTTTAATACGTCACTTCCTTTTCGTATTCCACCATCTAAATAAACTTCGACTCTGCCTTGTACTGCCTCCACAACCTCAACCAGAGCATCAATCTGCAAAGAAGCAGCCACTCTCACCTTGAGGTCAGCTTTTGTTTCCAAGAGAAAGAGGAGATATTCCAAAGAGACAGGCAGGCATGCAATGCTTTAATAGCGTACCTTCTCAAAATGAAATGTGACAATGCATCACAAATAGTTCAGCACCAGAAGCTGCAGAATAAAGTGCAGCTCCCTGTTGTTTGCCAGATAGTTAATTCCATTTTCCAGTGCCTTGCTTATGCTGATATTCTTTGCTAGCACTTCTGATAAGTGAAAAAGTAACATTTTTCACTTGCTTTCTGAAAGATTTTAGAAATAAATTTCAATGGAAATAACTGTCGTTAATATCTTACTGTCATTTGAGACAATGATGAATGATAGAAATGTTTGTAAAAAAGGCTGATGTCAGCCTGTAAATTCCTTGTTACTGGTAAGAACAGTGTCTCCCTTGGAGAAAAGCATAATCTCTCTCCCCAAATCCTGTGGTGAGTTTGGAGAGCTGACCCCTGGAAATACCTTTTTTCCCATGGGTGTTCTGTGTACACTGAGTGCATTTTCCAGTGCATTCCTGTGAGGACAGAGTTTTCTTCTGTGCTTTCTCCTGCTACTGTCCAAATTGCCTAAACTTACATTTCAAGCTAATCCTGGTGACCACCAGTTGAAAGCCTCCTCAAACCCCCTAAAGCATCTATGAAGGATTTCATTTGCTATGTAGTACGGTCAAGGTATCATTTCCTCCAGGCTAACTCTCCTGATTCCCTAAGGTCTTTTCTGGAGAGCGCAGCGCGGTGCCAGGCTGGTAGTGCAGGGCAGTACCACGCAGAGGTGCTGGCTCTGGTCCCAAAGGCAGTATAACCAGTGGCAGGACATTGCACTGGACCTAACTAACTCTCCTTCACAGCAAACCCAAAGGTCTCTTTTCTGCAGTCTCCTACACTCTTTTGCCTTCTTTTCATCTTTTTTTAAGTAGAGCAGCTGTAACTAAGGTTACTAAGTAGATTTTTCCAATTGGTCATAATTTTTTTCAGAATTTCAGCCTGAAAACTTTCAGGCTGAAATTTTCCAGGAGTAGCTCGCCAAGAGCAAGGACAATAGCTTCTGCTGCCAGGCTTGGTACCAGAGGAGTAGCAGAGCTGAACTAGGTATCTAGTGGTTTGTCTGTGTATGTAAAGAAACTTCTAAGGTAGAATAGCAGTTTAATGTGAATGCCATTTCCATTATCATGTCTTTAGCATTTAGATTTTTTTTTTTAATCATTATTGTCAGCCTTGACATAGAATAGAAGAGAATTCCCTCGTGCCTGTTTTTATTTTACAGAGGAAAACAGAGAAAAGAAAGTCCGTAAGATACTATGCAATATAGAACTGTAAAAGAAGAACAACTGGAAAAATTGACAGAAGCCAAATTAAAGCAGTGAAATACACATGCGTCCAAACAACCCACGATTTCTTTGTACAGATTAAAAAGTGGGGGAATTTTTCTCCAGATAAGTTATCCTTTTTCTGGCTCATGAAAGTCAATAAATTCCCATTTAGACTTGAGTCTGTAAATACACAAGCAGACCTCTCACTAAATCTAGCTGCATTGTTTGTGCATGTTTTGGCAGATGTGAACAATGAGAATACATTATGCTCTCATTTGTACATTTTTGGTTCCAGAGCTTCGTTTTATTTTTGCTGCAGTGCGCAAAGAGTACGTGTGCGCTGCACCAGCTAATGAAGACATAGGCAGAAAACTTTTACTAACTTAGGCCAGTAATTTATCTGCAGTTATGTGGGTTCAGTGCTGCTTATAGAACCCTCCCAAGAAGCTGAGAAAATACTTCAGTGGGTAGCCCATGCCAAGACATGCGTCTTACCAGTTTAAAGCTAAAGTACATCTACACACATCCACAGCCAGGCAATGAACACACAAGTCCACCAGAAGCATATATACAAAGACGAGCATAGATACACCCAGGTTAGTGCAAATGTGCATACAATAAACACTCATGGGACATCTGTTTTCTCACTTACAGTGGCAGGTCCTCCATCCAGTTGCCTTCCACCGTGGTTGGACACAATAATTCCCTGAACTCCATGTCTTACTGCCAGCTCTGCATCTTCTTTCGTCAAGATGCCTTTGATGACGATGGGCAGGTGGGTCAGGCTCCGCAGCCAGTAGATATCATTCCAGGTGACCGAAGGATCCAAGCTGTTGGGTGGCAGTCCGTACTCAGAATGGTCATCTCCCTACAGCCATAGGACAGAAGGAAACCTCATCTGAGCTGTAACAATACAGAGGCCCCCTGAAGTCTTTCCCTGCCCTAGAACAGATTAATTAAACTTGCTAACAGACATGTTCATCAGCTCCGGAAAGCACGCGTCTCCGGAGCAGAATAATTCCAATGGGGATGGAGATCAGTGTCTCTAAGGCAGCGGGACTGGGATTTTGAAGCCAGAACCCAGGCTGGCAGGAGGGCAAGCCAGGATGCTGCAGAACCAGAAGGGGAGAAGATACGCCCTGGGTACAGGAGATGCCAAAGCAGCAGTTACCCGGTGGTTTTTGTCTCATGTGGTACATGCCGGCGTGATGAATGAAAGGACGGGCTCATTTTACAAACCTCAAAGGCTCCTTCCAAGTTCTTCAGTGTCATGTGGGGAGGAAGGCGGAAACCATTGCGGACATCGTCACGTCTTTTGCCCGTGTAGGGCAGATCCGCGGTGAGGACAAGGCCCTGGAAACCCAAGGCCTCCGCCCGTTGGACCAGCTGCTGGGAAACCGCCCTGTTGCGGTGGATGTAGAGCTGGAACCACCGGAGGCCGCCGGGGGCAGCTGCGGAGATGTCCTCCAGCGTGCAGGTGGAGTACGTGCTGGCAATGTAACAGGTGTTCATTGCTTTGGCCGCTTCAGGAGGTATTGGAAAATAATCAGAATCAAGGTCATTTGAACAGTACTGCCAGACACCAGGTACAAAAGTTTATTATATACAGTTTGCAGAGAACACCTGAACTCTTGTTTTACTTATATCCTACCAAACACAGTGCTCTACCAATTGGCAAATATGCCCCTGGGGTTAAAAATGGCTATATTTACCATGCACTGTTGTAGGATCCTGGTTAAGAAGGCAGGAAAGGGAGAGGTAATTTACTAAGTGGTGCTTTCATTTTGCAACTATTTTTTTTAAAAAGCATGAACTTTAGCT